GCCCCTCTGTTGGTCTTCCTTGGTCTCTTGTGTTCTGGGGGCCTCTGGATGTCTGGAGTTTTGATCTCCTCCATACCTGCTTCATGCCCTGGAGGACGGGGCTGTGGCCCCCCCACACCCTCTAGCAGATCATTACATGAAGGAACCTTTTAAAAAAACAAGCGCGTCCATGCTCACAGGTGTACACACGGGTGATCACACCCACAAACTACACCCTTTTTGGCTCCTACCTCAAAGCACACTGTGTTCTGTTGATCTTATGTGCTGCACAATAATGTTTAATATTTAGTATTTACTGTCATATTCCCATATATCATTGTGATGTTGTTTATTCTATTACTCTTGTTCTCTTCTGCTTGTTTTCTTTTTTCTTTCTCAACAGGTGATCCAGGTGATCGATATATGCTTTTTTTTCTCTGCCCGTTCTGTTGGTTTTTGTTTTTTGCCCTTCTCCCCCGTCCCTCTTCTCACCTGTTTCTCTTTCCCCTTCTTTCCCCCAGTCAAGTCTGTCCCGTATTCAATAAGTGAAAATAAAATAAACAATAAAAGGTGAATCAAATGGACCATTATGGCAAGGCTGGGATGGTCAGTTTGGTAAAGTAAATCCGTTGGGCATCTTTCTTTGCCTTTAGACAATAATTCTGATGGCAAAAGAGCCAAACGGGACAGGCAAAAAAAAAAAAGACGTTTCACCTCTCATCCGAGAAGCTTCTTCAGTTCTAAGGTCAAATGGTGGAGAGTCCCAGATATAAACCTAGTGGGAGTATCCCCCCACAGAAGGACAAAAGGACCCCCTGATGATCCTCTAATCGCCTGAGCCAAGGTGTGAAACTGGGTGTGGGTCCCAATCAGCCAGAGTTTCGGGTGAGTTCATTGTGAAACCTGGCCCCACCTTATCATGCGAATTCCTGAGATCAGATGGCCCAGGATGTGAGTGGGCGTTAAGGCGTCTGGGAAGGGAACTCAAAACTGGATTATAGATGGCAGAGAGTTGGTGTCGTAAACCACCGCCTCTGTTCAAAGATGGTCGCTCACAGTGGACATAGATGGCTTCTTTCACTCCTCTTTCAAACCATCTGTCCTCTCTGTCCAAAATGTGAACATTGGCATCCTCGAAAGAGTGTCCTTTATCCTTAAGATGCAGATGGACTGCTGAGTCGTGTCCTGTGGAGGTGGCTCTTCTGTGTTGTGCCATGCGCTTGTGAAGTGGCTGTTTGGTCTCTCCGATGTAGAGGTCTGGGCATTCCTTGCTGCACTGTACAGCATACACCACATTGTTAAGTCTGTGTTTTGGCGTTTTGTCTTTCGGGTGAACCAGTTTTTGTCTGAGCGTGTTGCTGGGTCTGAAATACACCGGGATGTCATGCTTGGAGAAAACTCTCCTGAGTTTTTCTGATACACCGGCTACATAGGGGATGACAATGATGTTGCATCTGTCCTTCTTATCCTCGCTGGTGTCTGATCTTCTTTTCTGTTCCTCTTTGCTGACTTTAAGAACGCCCATTTAGGATAGCCGCACGTTTTGAGTGCTTCCTTTACATGTGTGTGTTCCTTCTTTTTTCCTTCAGGCTTAGAGGGAACATGTTCTGCCCGGTGGTGTAGGGTCCTAATTACTCCAAGTTTGTGGGAGTCAAACAGGAGGTACTGGTTCGTGTGTGTGGGCTTCCGGTAAACTTCGATGTTGAGTTTGCCGTTCTCTTCAATGTGCACGGCGCAGTCCAGGAAAGGCAAACGGTTGTCCTTTGTGTCTTCCCTAGTGAACTTGATGTTTTTATCCACAGCGTTAATGTGCGCAGTGAAGGATTCCACTTCTTGTGTCTTGATTTTGACCCAGGTGTTGTCTACATATCTGTACCAGTGGCTGGGTACTCTTCCTTTGAAGGAATGTGAAGAACTCATCAATATTTATTTTCATATTAATTATTTGGAGTGATGGGTTTGAAAAAAGAGAATTACATCATGGTGTCAGTTGTTTACAAATTGTAGAATTTGGCATTCGATTTTTAGCACTTTTGTAATCTTTATTTCCTTGCACCAATAAGTTGATGTTGAGACACTACAATGTGACAATTTACCCTTTTCCGTTTTTAGGGAAAGTTCTAAATGGCATTGCCAGCTAATTTGGTTTAAATTTGATTACAGATGCCACTCCTGCTACTCGGGTGGTCGTTCCTGTAAACCTAAATGCCACTGAATTCAGGCAGGCACTACGGGACAATATTGCATACATACCTTTGCAGTTCGATCTATGCAAAGTGAATGGACAGCGGCTCATTCTTCCTCTTGAAGAAGAGATGCCCCAAGAAATTAGAGCAAGAAACCTACTGGGTCGCTCCAATCTTTATATCCGTCCAAAGGTATTCAAATCTTCCACTCGGGTGGCTGATATGGCATAATTGTCACTATTACTGTAACTCAGTGGTGCTCCAGTCACCCTAGTATTGTATAAGACATCTTTAACATGTTACTGCTCAGAATAATAAATGCTGTGATTTTCCCCAAAGGATTTGAGACATTCATCTGCAGTGTTGCCAACTTAGCGACTTTGTGGCTATATTTAGAGAGTTTTCAGACCCCCTTAGCGACTTTTTTTCTAAAAAGCGACTTGCGACAAATCTGGCGACTTTTTCTTGTATTACTGGAGACTTATTTATGACGACTTTTTGACGTGAAAACACGTATCGCGCTTACTCTCAACAAGCAGCGGTGCTGCGGTGGGCACCTCACCCGTGCCAAAGCGCTCCCAGGCGGAGGATAGTCCTCCCCCAGCTGCTATCAGGGCATGAGACGTTCACACCTGTGCGTCCAAAAGGCAAATGAATCGCGCATGAGCGAAGCCGCTGCGCTGCTTCATTTTAAGTGTGGCTGTTTTGGTTCTTGTCTTTGACTTGTCCTCTGTTCTTGTTTGTCATTTGTTGTTCCATTTCATTTATATTTAAATACTCTGGTGTTTTAGATTACAGAAGCCAATGAGGACTCAACTGGTGGAGAAGTTGTGCAGTCTGAAATGGCAATGAAAGTGTTTGACAACTGCCTTTGGACTGTAGCACTATAAATGCATTACACCCTCTCATCATCAATATTTACCATATTACAGTGTGCTGCATGACACCGAGACACCAGACCATAGCAGGCACAATGTACAGGAGCCAGAGGTTATCAGGTAAATGGCACTCTGTTTGTTTATGAGTTGGAATTTTAATCTTAAACTATTGCACAATTTCATTTATTTTTTTGGTAAAAACTAGTTTGGTACAAACTAATTATATCATTATTATAACTTGGATCATTTTGTGTAGTCTAGATCAATAAATATCTGCATTGGGGTCCTCTTCCTGCTATGAAATATTTCTGCTATTGCTTTGCAGTGGTCTGCATGAAAACCATACAGTTCATTCTAGTAGGCATGGTCTCCAGGAACCAGAGGTTAACAGGCAAGTGGTAGTTGTTGAACAACATGAGAAAACTTAAGTGTAAACTGGAACTTATAAAGCACACACCATAGGTAAATAGACACTCAATAAGTACAATATAACAGGGTGAGACCAGCAAATATTAAAATTTGAAAGGTTGCATGTATTGAATTGATAACATTTATGTGCTCTGAATATAGACCAATGGTTCAATTGCCTCATTCGGTTTCTGTTTTGCTTTTTCATGTTTTTCAGATATGTTGATGTCGTGATATTGGTATTTTTAATTGCTGAAAATGCATCGATAACACTTTAGTCAGCCTGACCATTCAGACACTTGGAACTACAAATCACCCAAACTATTCCCAGTAAATGGGCACTGTAGTGGCAGTTCCTTATGTTTCACAAAAAAAGTAAAAGAAGACACTGCTGGCCTGTGATAATCTTTTGTGCGCAGGAAAACTGCACTGTCAAAACTTGAAAGTTGCATTTTATAGTTTATTGATCCATTTTGGCAACCAATAACAAGATCCATTTTTGTCCCTTCATGCTGCTTGTCTCTCAAATTAAAAAAAAACAAAAAAAAAAACCCAAAAAACAAAAGGCCCATCTCAGTGCATGCTGGTCTTATACCAGTCTCTTAAGTTATCAAAAATAGCCCTGAAATTCTTCCTGGCTGACTTGATAAGATAAACAACAAAACAATGAAGTGAGCATTAACCTACAAATAAAAAAATGATTAACCCAGAAATAGAAGTAAACTAACAACAAACTTTATATTTTAATATTTTGAAATTTGTTTAAATCCAAATGGCTCCAACAGATGCAATCAAGGACCACATGGCCATTTTAAGTGCCTGTATCTATACAGTAAAAGAATGTGAAATCAGATTCTTTTATCAGAGGAGTCATTCCATTTCAGTATGTATACATGATATTAAAAAAATCAAATGCATTTGTTCTGTTTAGGGAAGAGTTTTACATCGACTCTGCAGAGTCAGAAGTATCAGACCTGGATGAGGCTGTCCTGTATGGAAGCCCATTTCCGCCACTAAAAAAAAAAAAAAAAGCTAGTATCCATAACTCGAAATTTCGAGTTACTTTTCTCAAAATTTCGAGTTAGCTCTGCCAATCAAAAATATACGTGAATGAGGTCGCTTTCTTGTTACCCGGAAGCATATGGCGCAGGACCGTGCACTCAAAAACGGATCCCAACAAATTAAAGTATGTTTGCTGATAGTAACACCATGTGATTCAGCTAATAACACAGGGATTTCATCATTTGTGAAGCCAGGCTGAAAACACTCAGCAATCTGTGCATTCACGACTGGATGTAATACCGGTAGCTTAGCTGTAGCATTTGTAGCTGAGGGCTTCAGCTTCCGGGTAACATGGAAATGACGTCATTTACGTAGATTACTGATTGGCAGCGCTAACTCGAAATTTCGAGTTGCTTTTCTCAAAATTTTGAGTTAATATGTCGAAATTTCGAGAAAATAACTCGAAATTTCGAGAAAGTAACTCGAAATTGTAAGTTATGGATCCTTTTTTTTTTTAGTGGCAGAAACGGGCTTCCATAGTCCTGGCTTCCCCTGAACAAAATGACTCACATGTATGTCTCATGAACAACACTGCCAGAACTGCTGTGTATGTGTTTCATGTAGTCATGACCTTTCTCCCCCCCTTTTCTTCAGGACGAGATGGACCTTGCGACTGTGTTGAAAGATTTCCAGGAAACGCATCTTGACACCAGCAATTATTGTGCAATAATAGCCCGACGTAGGAAAATCCTACATAGTGCCTGCATGGCACTTTCCAAGTCATATTTTGCGTGGCATAAATTGCCAAATATTGAATTTGTTGGTGAAATGGCCGATGATTATGGAGGCCCAAGGCGGGAATTTTTTCGGTAACCCATTCCCATCTCTCCCACACAATAATACAATGCATGAATGTGTTTTTTGTTGTTGCAAAGATGAAATCACAATTTGACTCATTTTTTTTGTTTGTTTTTTTACTACGTTTTCCTGCAGCTTACTTATGGTCGAAACTCAGAATTCCCTAGGGATTTTTGAGGGGAAGCCTGGCAGTCTGTTGTTCAGCTATAGTCAGCAGTTGCTGTCAAGCAACAAGTTTTATACGGCTGGTAAACTGATTGCTTGGTCGATAGCACACAATGGGCCAGGGCCACGGTGTATCAACAGACACCTGTTCTGTATGATGTGTGGCCAGAAGACATCTCTTGATGACTTCGATGTAGAGGTCTTCATGGACGAAGACGTCAAACAGAACATAGAAAAGGTAAAACTGTGTGCATGCTGAGGTGTAATTAAATTCAGTGAAACACAATGCATAGCTTAACTCATCAGTGGAACATCTCAAAATGTAAGTACACTTAGTGAATGCTTTAAACGTATGTATTTATGGAGGTGCCTAATTTTCAAGGTTTCCAGCTGCAGCACCCCAGAAGACCTGGCAGACTTGAAAAGTCACCTTGGGGACTGGATTGCTGGCTGTGGTATCCCTGACATCTACACTGCCACACTACTAGATGTTAAGAGGATAAGGGGCGAGATTGTATCTCATTTTGCCAAAAGTGGCCACCTACAGATTAGGTCTGTAATTTTTATTATTTTTATGGGTTTTTTTGCCATTTTTTCTGCATAAAGTTTTAAAGTAACTTCAGTTCTTTCCATAAATATAAAATAATTATTACTTTTTTATTTTTTAACCCTTTAAACACCAGTTTGTCCACTGCACCAGCTGGACGACAAACTCAAATCTCGCAATTTTATATAATTGCATTGCTACTGAAATTTCTTGTATTATTAATAGTAGAGTCTGGGGCATATAATTGATTCACATCAACATTGATTATAATGCATTGTTATTTTAGTGCAGAGAGAGCAAAAACAAAAACTCCCTCTCAGCTTGTTCGTGGCCAAAAATGGCCACCCCTTGTTTACATTTACAAAATGCTATAAAATTCATATATATTAAGAAAAATGTCCAGCTTTTTTTACTTGATTTTTTAGATTAGCATCAGGGCTATTCATCAAAATCAAAATTTCATTCAAATTCTGAATTTTAACCCTTTAAATACCAGTTAGAGCACATAATCATAACAACTCATAAATAGAGAAAATCATAAAATCCCTTTTTTTTTTCTAAATAATATATGCCAACCATGATGAAGGTTAGATGCATAGCAATAATTAACAGCACCAATGACATTTATGCAACATTGTTTTTTTCTGCAGTGGCAGAAAAACCAAAAAAAAACCCACTCAGCTTGTTCGTGGCCAAAAATGGCCACCCCTTGTTTACATTTACAGAATACTATAAAGTTATTCTATATTAAAACATTTTTCTACTTAGACCAACTTTATTTTTTAAATGAAAACCAGTCCTAGTCATGAAAACCAAAATATAATTCAAATTCAGAAATTATACCCTTTGAATACCAGTCAAATTATATGTTACTACTATGTTTTTTGGGGGGCAATAAAGTTCACATTTTTTCAGCAGTTGAATGACGAAACTTTTTTTTTTTTTAAATCATTGCAGGTCAGTGCCAGTAACAAAAATAATAATTATTAATATTAATATTTTGTATTATGCCTGTGAGTAATAACCCCAAAAAAAGAAACTCCCACTTTGTTAGTCATGCCAAAAACGGCCTTTTATTGGTTGTTTGTACAAAATAATGCTCTTTCTGTGTGTGTGTGTGTATGTGTGTGTGTGCACGCGATCTTTGCAGACACTCTTTCCACAGCTGGAGCAAGTGGTTGCCGTTCTTCTTCTGTTTATACACAGTTCGCACCTTTTCCTCATTTTGTTGATGGGCTGTGGGTCATACTCTGATTCTGACTGCTGTATCTCAGCAACAATAGCAGCGGCTGCTTTTGAGCGTGGGGCACAAGGCCATCTTGCAATTTCTGGAGTCACCAGCATATGGCCCAGCTCCTCCAGGAACACCCTTCGTTGGTAGGTTTTGGTGGACTCCCACTCAGGATGCACTGCTTTCCACAGGACAAAGGCATTGTATGCTGAGACGTCCAGAAGATTGTAGAACAGAGCCAGTGGCCAGCGACTGGTTTTCCTCCGACAACTGTAGGTGCCAACAACCTTGTCTAGGTTATCCACTCCACCTTTACACCTATTGTAGTCAAGGATTGCTGCTGGATTCTTCTTTTCCCCATCACTGACTGCTGGTTCCCTATGCTTTGTGCTCAAAAGAAGCACATTCTTCCCTCGCTTGGGCATGTAGGAGACTGCCATGGTTTGGTGAAGGCAAAGAGAGATGAAAGAATCTTCCTCTGTCGCAGCTGAACAAGCTGGGGAGGGAGCTCTGGTTTGTTTCTCCGGATTGTGCCAAGCAGAGCTAGTTTTCTTTTGAGCAGCTCCTCTGCCAAGCTGAATGAGGTAAAGAAGTTGTCACAAGTGACAGTGTGTCCTTGGAGCCCCTCTGTCAGTTGTAGCACAACTCTCATTCCCTGATTAACTTCCCGGGAACTTCCAGGTGATTTTTGTGTGTAAATTTCCATCTTCCAGGCATAGGAGGTTGCCACATCACAGGTCACCCAGATTTTAATGCCATATTTTGTAGGCTTGCTGGGCATATACTGTCGAAATCCACATCGACCTTTGAATGCAACCAGCTGCTCATCGACACACACATCAACTCCTGGATTGAACAGCAGGGGGAGACGAGCAACCCACTTTTCCCACAGGACCCGAAATGCAGCAAGCTTATCGCTCCTGAAACGTCCCGGGCGGATGAGCTTGTCATCAAAGCGGACGTTAGCACTGATCTGGGAGTAGCGGTAGAGGGGCATTGTAGCACGAAATATTGCCCGTCCGGTCTTGTCAGCCCACAAACCACGCGTTGTTTCATCTCTTGGGCGGTAGACACCAGCTAGAATCAAAATTCCGATGTAGGCTCTCATCTCCACATCATCCACATCCCTCCAATCCTCACACTTTCGCCTCCCATGCAGGTTTGTGTGGGTGCACAGCAGCTGAATGATCTCTTCTGTCACAAACAGGTCAAATGCAGATCTCAGGGTGCTAATGCGGGCAACTGCGTACAGGGTGGGCCCTGGAGTGATACTAGTGGGTACTGGATTGTAGCGCATGGTCTCCTCAGCAGTGGGAAACCACTCAATATTCCCAGAACGAGACATCCACTCAGCCACCGGCGCCCCGGTCTCTGCCGCTTCTCCTACCTTCTCTGCCATTAGCCGCTCTGCCTCGACTGCTGTCTCTGTATCATTCTCACTTGCTGAAGAAGAGGAATCGGGCACTGGATGGTAATCCTCATCACTGGTAGTGATGCTGTCATTCTCTGAGGAGACTGAAGAAGATGCCTCTTCTTCAGATGCAGAGGATTCCTCGTCATCTTCGCTTTCTGAGCGCATCACATAGTCAAGTGCTTGAAGCAGTGAATATGACCGTCTTGCCATCTTGCCAGAGCAAAAATGATCTTGAAGCTGCTGGGTTTATTTATAGCTTTACAAATGACTGCACCTGTATAAACCCCAGGACAGAATTAGAAATGGTCCCAGTTTGTTGTTGTTTATGCTACAGCTACAGCTTTGAACTTTGCAGAGTGTCCTGTGAGTTCTGGGTTTTTTTTGCAGGCAAAAAACGGTGTTTCCGTCTGTCTTTGAATGCCGCTTTTTACGTCACTCGGATGGTGCGTTCAGGGCGCCATCCGAGTGACGTAAAAAGCTGCGTTTGTCGGAACAGAACGCCTTTTTTTCGGCGTTTAGAATAATTAAAAGGCGTTTTTTACGCCATTTCTTAACCAAACGGGTTAGAAAAGTGCAGATTTTTGGCACTAATGGCTTGCCAAAACAGGGACTAGCAGTAACGTGGATCTGTCGGGCGTGCTTCCCCATGACACCAGGAAAAGAGATCGCCACTTTCAAAATAAAAGCTCATCTAAAAAATACATGCAGGGCTTTAGGACTCGAACTTAAAAAAAATAACTACATATAAAATAAAAAATACCAGTAATTTTATACGTTTTAAATTGTAAGTTTGAGACTTATAAAATTGTACTGATAATTTCATAATTCAAATTAGACAAGAATCGGGTCTGATCACCAACAAAAACTGCCCTAAAGTAAAGAGACAAAATCAACACAAGGCAGTACAATTGGGAAACACAACAATCATAGTTAGCCAATCAGGCGGGTGGCAACAGATTACATCACAATTTGTAACATAAAAGACCAGCGGTCCCTTTCCTGGTCTTTCTGAAGAAACTTCCAGTCACAGTCATTCAGTCATCTCTTCTACTTTACTCTTAGTGGTATTAAGAACATAAAACGTAAGTATTGATATTGGAGCGGTTTTTTTTAGTGCCTTTGTACTATGTACAACAAATAATGTAGTGAAAGATAAAAGATCTAGCCATTTAAGTTCCTGTGAATATAAAGACCCCTAAAATTTGGCCTGACTTTTCTTTCGGCCTATGAATGTTTTATATATGTGTATCTTCATTTTTCTCTCGAAGAAAAAAAATCACTTTTGATAAATTCACATTTAGTATTGATAGCAATGTATTGGTAGGTGTCATAGTTTGATGAACTTATTGTTTCAGGGATATTTAATTGAAAAAAACCACCTGAATGTATTCATGAAACTGGCATCTGTTTTTTTTATGAAATATTAAGATCTTACAGAATCAGACAAATCTTCCAGATCTATAACAGTTTTATAAACTTTAAGACGTTAAGTTTGGGCTGTTAGTATGAAAAAATTGCTTAAGGCTGGCACTCTGCCCTGGCAACCGCCTCCCAGCTTTGCAAGCCAATTACTTTCCCAGTTACTCTATACAGCAGCTGAGTAACCAATAGGAGTATAGCTAAGTATTTATCGTATTCATAGCCCTGTATTGTCATGAAATTGTACTGTGCCGGAAGACAATTTACATAGCAGACAGGAGGAATAGTTGACAGGAACATATATAAAACAGAAATCTATTCAGCCCCAATGTTTTCACTGCCTGGTGCAAAGGGTAGTGGTCATCTCCCACAGAGCTGTTTCTGGTCAAAATATTGCCATTTTCTGCCCAGTTAAGGAGGGCGGGATTGACCTAAAAGCAGGGACAGTAATTCTATTGGCTCAAATGATTAAAAAGGGGAGCCAATATGAACTAAAGCCACAGAGACCAAGCAGGTGCACTATGTTTGTGTGTGTGCGCGCGTCCGTGCCGTGTGTGGGATGGGCAGGCAGGCAGGCAATCTTTGACTAGGTCTTCAGTAAGATATCTGTAATGTTGCTGTTTTTCACTTCCTTTTTCAGATAATCTTCCTATGATGATTCCTTGTTTTCTATTGTCCACTGTAACCTATTTTCAAGTATTATTTTAATTAATAATTATTTTATTTATTATCTGAAAAACTTAAGTGTGGAAAAGAAAATTGTGATTTTTTTTTTCTGCGTTCCATCCAAAGTGAATTGGATAGACTTACATGTGCTGTAATATTTGTATGTATTTTATTAAGGCTCATACGCGTTAAATTAATTGTCAGACCAACATTTTGTAAAGATAATTTGTGTTTTCACAGAAATATTGAAATGTTTTCGCGTATGTAAATATCAAGCAGCAGGAACCTCAGAAACACACTTGGGGTTGAGGAAGTTAATGTGTTTGTTTCATATCAAAATGTGAAGAGACAACATAAAAGCAACAGGTGTTACTCTATTCTATCAGAACTGGATCCAGCAGAAATGTATGAACCTGTTAATGTGTTTCTTTTGCTTTTTTTCCCAGAATGGCCTTAATG